TTTGCCATCAGTAATTTAAAATTGCAACTTTCTTTCAAAAGAATGCAATTTTTTGAGAAAAAAAACACTACATACTGGACTAACGTCTTCAAGTACCTGTACAGATAGGATCAAATGAGATTTTTATCTACTGTAAAGCGCTGTCCACCCAATAGATTTGTTTTTTTTTGTGAAGATAATTCAACTGTATATTGAAATCTGTTTACACTAATTGACAGTGCAAATTACCTTTGGAGCCACGTTTCTAAAAGGCTTTACATTTATTGCTTCAACTTTACATGCACGGACTTTTTGAATTTAACATTTGTGTATATCGCTCTGACATCTGATAGCATTTGAGGAACAATTTCACAGACTGTTTTTGCAAATGTGGTATTAGGATATCTTAGTAGAACAGATTTTTTAAAAAATCCTGTAAATTCTGCACGCTTAGTCATCTTGGTATCTTTATCCTACCTTCAACGACTTTAATCAAAATTTTAACATGGAATTTCCTTAGAATAGAGGCTGAATTCCATACTTACAGCTTAGAAAGAAAAAAACATCTCTCTCACTTTCTATATTTAGTTTCTGTTCTTAAGAGGAGGAGACAGGATGAAACCTGAAATGCTTTTGACTGTAAATCTACCTATGGTTAGGCTCTGTAATAAAATCTGCCTTACATACCAGGCTCTGAAATCTCAGTACCCCCCCTAAAACAGACAACTGATTAATAATGAAGTCAAAAATACAAATAAATCTGCTTCTAACGAAGACTGGAGACACAGTAATCAAAGTGTTAAAAATTCATTTCATGCATATCTCATTTGCCTCTTGGCTGATATTTATCACATAATTCTGTGAGAAAGTAGAGGCCTAAGATGCTCCAGATAAATGTCTCAATTAATTGTACAGAGGTAGCCCTCTTTGAGCTGAACCAGAGCTGTGAGCTCTTTATTAAAAGCACTATTCTGTAGCCTGTAACCTTGTTCCTTGACTCCTCTCTAGTTTCCAATTTAAACAAGTCCCCATGCGGCCTGCTCTAAAGGGCTTTGTCTCCCTGTCATTGTTAAGAGAGCCGAGGCATCCTGGAAGTGTGAAATCAGACCTCATGAGCTGAACGGTTCCCCAGGGAACGCTGGACCGCGCAGAAGGTCAAAGTCATGGGCTGGACCATCTGAAAGCGTCTGATCGCTGGTCTGTGACACAGCAAGTGGGGTGGGGGGTAGGGGGAGAAAGAAGCAAGGGGACTAGAATTGAACACATCTTAATTAAAGCCCAAAGACAGCAAAACAAACTGTTTTCTAGGCAGGCTGTCACATGGAGCTTACATTCTGCTCTACTAATGAATCTGAGTTGTTAACTATTATTCTTTTAAACAACAGGACTTCCACTGAAGTTGATAAAACCTGTAGCATATCTTTCCCCACTGTGCTTTCTTCCTTCAATAATCTGCCATCAATAAAAAGGTGGGGAGGGGGGGTTATTTTATTTTCGAAAGGATGAATGTGCCTACAACAATAAAGGAGATGCAATCACAGTCTGTTAAAATAGCAGGCTTCTACCACGCTCCTCCTAAACACAACTTTGCTGCAGAAAGAATACATTTCACCTGACTATTGCTTTAAGTGACACTATTTCATTTGTGAACAGTCTGTTGCTTTCCAAAACTCATATGGGCTAAGTAAACAGAATATGTATTAATTTGAGAGGTCAACTGATACGATGACTCCACTATACCTTACCTTCTACTGTACTAGTAGGATATTTCTTCACCTACAAGAGTCTCACTGTAGCCATGTACGCTACAACGTCAGTGATCTGCTAACAGCCGAACCCTTCGGGAAGACTGTAACAGTCTACCAAGGGAACCACAAGCAAGCAAAGGAGAAACGGAGGAAAGCAAAAATAAAACTTCTTGTAAGTGGAGTTTATGCGGAAAACAGCACTGTACTGAATAGCTAAAACACAACAGAAGATTTAAATGAAACTTTCTTCTCAGGAAGAGAAGAAAAAGTCAACAGTACACTCAGTATTCATTCCATTGGTTAAATTATAATTTCAAATAAAATATACATATTTTTCCAGGAAAGGACTTCTGCTGCGATCCCAATCTGCAAGAGAACGTAACTTTGTACTGGTGCAAGTCCTAAAATTATTTTTGATTGATGGAGAGAATTCTATGACTGTTGGAGAGACACTGTTATTTCAGGGGAAACGTCCTTATATACTAGTCGGTTCTTTGAAGGGCCCCAGGCCAGAAAGACACCCTGTCCTTCAGGTCTCCCTGAAACCCAGCCGAGATTCCAAGCACCCGCCCGCTGGGAAAACTCTCCATCCTTCAACGGTTATCCTTTTTGCAGATATTCTTATACGCAGGCTGAACGAAGGGAGCTTTATTTTGCTTTTTTTCCCCTCACAATATTTTTCAAGTCCAGTTACTGCACCTTTTAGCAGCAGCCAGTTTTCGGAACTGCAGTGCCCACTTTCTCAGGCTGTGAAAAACTGCCCACACCTTTCTGAAATGTCAGCTCACCCTGGCGTCTTGTTCAACGCACGTGTACACGTGGGAGGTGTAAACTGAGGCCTCAACCACCAGCGTTAATCTCTCCCTCTCCCCCCCCCCCTTTTTTTTTTTTAAAGATCTGTATTAACCTTAATGATTTGAAGTGCACTGTCCAACACTGGGCTATTGAGACTGAAGAAAAAACTACCCCCAACTATCAACAGTTTATTAGGGGCTTAACTGAAGTGACCTACTGTAGTAGTATTCAGCTGAACAAGGCTATGGGCTTTCTGTGGAAAGGAGAAGAATTGAGGGTTTCATTAAAAAGTAATTTGTGCTTTTTACTCATTCATTCAACGGGAGTCTCAATTGCTCTTTATTCACACAGAGTTAATACAGTATTACAATGCTTCTCAATGAATGTATGGTAACAAAAGAAAAATTTTACATTTTGAAAGGAAAAAAAAATCTTTGTAACTGTAGTAAGATTGATGACTACTTAAAAGATTACAGAAATCTTTTTCTGTCTATGCCTATGCTTAATGATGGAATATTACGGATTTTTAAAATCCATTCAGCCCAAACCAATAAATTTTGATTTATTACTTCATATGAAAAAATGCCTGAAAGTGAAATGGGATATGTCCAACAGACAGGAAACAGAGCAAATCACATAGGTACTATACAGGTGTTTCAGGCGCTTTTCAGACTCAGGGGAGGGTAAAAGATTAACTCTGAAAAAATGCTATATTAAGAGCAGCAAGCTGGTGCTTAGTTTTTACTCACATAAGCAATCCTTAATCATGTAAGTTACATCACTGATGGCAGTGCTCTCTACTCAGACTAATAAGTATTATTCATTTGAATAAAAGTAGAGGATGAAGATTTACATAAATCTTTGGAAACATGCTTTATTGGCAGGATTATAAATCAACAATCACCAAATAACCACTTTATTATAAGCCGTTTCTAAATACGGCTATTCAACTTCTAATCTGAAGATGAACTATCCATCCATGCCTACAGGTTACTAAAAATAGCTATAAATTACAATAGTGGTTAATAAAAAGCCTTTGGTCTCTTCTCAAAATACCAAATATTATCATCCAAGCTATACAATGATTTCTGTAATGTTTGAAAGGCAGTGTCTTTTTAAAAAGCACGTGCACTGTATAAATGTTTTTTCTTGCTAAAGAACAAAATATTCAGGACGGGGGAAAAGTACAGGGTGTTCTTCCCAGTCTTCCTGAATGTCATTCTAAATGCAGCATCTGAAAATTTTTGGTAGCTCTGTACATCTTTAATTGAATCAAATGTATTTCCAAAAAAATTTGTTCCACCAGCACAAACGACATGTTGATCTGGAAAAGTCGAAGACTGACCGAGGTCAGGGACTGAATTATCCCATTTGCCCCTGAATAACTTAATCTCTCTCTCTGTTCAGACCACTTTGGATTATAAGGTCAAAGCAGAGTGAGGAATCTTTGGAAGCGTTTCTGCAATCTCCACCAAAAACAGAATCTCTTATTTTGTGTGCCACAAACTGGATTATCAGTTTCAGGAATAAAATGTTTGCTCTGTTACCTTTTCTAAGGGGAAAAAAACAAAAACCAAAAACTCCAAACAAACAATCAAAACAATCTACCTAATATTTACTCTAGTTTACCCAAACCATTAAAAAGTGAGTAACTTACTATAAATTTACATCTGCTCCAGTAACAGAACATTTATGTCCAAAGTGCAGTTAAACCAGTTAGATTAGTATAGATCAGACTTTTTTTTTTGTTTTTAACCACAGCAGTGATGGCTATTTTCTGACATAGGATTTTTTTTTTTTTTTTAAAAACTTTCAGCAGATAAGCTGGATATTTCTGAAGAAAAATGTTCAGGATGACTGAAATATTTTCTTTATTTCAAAAAGCACAAGATTAGACTCTCCACTTAGCTTATATAATTTAAAATAGAGAATTTAAAAAAGGTGTTTTCTTATTTCCCTTCTGAAATAGACAAGCACTAATTACAACAAATTTGCATTCACTTGAAGTATTTGAAACCAAAAGCAGCCTTGCAAAGTATTTGGCAAGTTCCAAAAGGTTATTCTGGCAACAACTTTAAAGCAGTATCTGAGCCTATCATCTTTCACCACCTCCTCCTCTGGAATTCAGCTTTAATTTCGATCATTTTCGATATTACATCTACCAGAAAAGACATCTTGAATAACTAACTCATGCAACGTTTTTGCAGCAGGACCTCTGTTGGAGAAAAAGGAGTATTTCTCCTTTCTCAAAAACAGCCTATGTAGGGCTCTGTTAGCATTAGAGTGACTTGCTACCTTGCTTACAAAGGTTTTGTTTGTTTATCTGAGGAATTTATCCTTAACGAGCAGGCGGTGAGATTGTGCAAACAGACAGCGATATTTAGTTGAACTTCTGTTTTAAATATCTTTCTTTACTTTTAAAAACGCCTAGTCTTTTAGGGTAGTATTTACTCTCACAGAAACTAAACGAGTCCTTGCCTGTGACATCAGCTGCCATCAATGCTTCTGCTCTGATGACCTTCACCTGCAGAAATCCCACATCCTTCAGGTTATGGAACATTCTCATTGGACTCTAAATAACAATAAAAAGAAGAATCATTCTAGACTGCAAAAAAAGAAAAAAGAAAGGCAGTATTGATAGTTTCTTTCAACTTCAACTTAACCAAAAAGGAAAGAAGTATAACACAAAGGATTAAATATAATGCAAATTCTAGCATTTAACGTTAAACCTCTAATAGCACCTATCTGTACAGCTGTGTAGCACAATTTCAAATGCTGTCAGCTTATTAAGAATATTAACGTTAATACGAATAATCACATATTTCCTCTCTGAATACTTTCGTGAAATCCACGTTCACGTTTTCATTACAATAGCTCCCTCAATTCTTTGGATAGTGATTTAGGGCCTCTGTTTCTTTTGTTGTAGTTGATCGCTATATGCGAGCATTTTTAACATGAACAATACGTCTATCAGTAAGAGTAAAAACAATCGAAAGAGGATTCTAAAAAAATTAATAATTTTCATAATAATCCCATGTGAAATGATTAAAAAATGAATTAAAAGATTCTTGGCAAGAAACTCTTACAAGTAAATCTTTTTCTCCATGACCAATTTCTGCAATATCTAGGCATATTAAAAATGGAAGGAAAAAATTTAAAAAATATATATAACAAGAGTAAAATAAATTCCATTTATTCATCTTATGCAGTTTTTAGAAAGCTGCTTAGAAATAGCATTCTGATGCTGCTGTTTTTTCTCAAACAACTAAAAATAACAGACTGAGGGTACCATACAGTTAGGAGTGACATGCCAAATGCTTTAAGCTAGAACTTCAAACATAACTTAAGGGTTGCAGAACTTGAACTGCCACAATAGCAGACATAATTCTGAATCCACAATCAATTAATAGCAACTCTGACACTAGGACACTATCGTGTAGTGTTAAAATAACCTAGGGCAGGAACTCCAAAAGAGGAGACTAAACTTAAGAGTTTCAAATACATATTAAAACATACATGTACGGGGCCTAATTTGGGGTTTTTTTTTTTTGTAAGTCTTATTTGTAAGTGTTAGCACTTACCTTTACTTTTAAATATTTTAAAATTTGGACACATTTAACGCCAGTGGCCTTTGTGAATGTTCTACTGTAAAGCCGGTGAAACCTTTTTCATTGTTTTTAGTACAGTCTAGATTTCTAGAATATGCAAACATCAGGTAAAACATCAACTCAACAATTCTGAGATTTATTATGAGAGCAAAACTGACTGTTAAGGAAAATCAGAACAACATTACTGAAATGTTGTTTCTGAAAAACAGAACAACATGTTCTGAAAAATCAAAGGTGCTGTTTCAAGGCAATATTAAATGTTAGGTTGTTGGAAAATTTGATATATTTATTCATAAATAACATGCCCATTAAGATGTTGGGCATGTAACGTGTTCCTGTCTTGTTAATGAAAAGACAATTCTAACAGTCAAATCACACACTGATATTAATTTCACAAGCCTCAACTGACTGCTTGCTATTTATAGCAAAGGTCTGACCTTGGTATACTAAGCTGAGGAAATCTAGTTACACGTAGTACCCACACTCTGCATATATACAAATATAAGTATGCATGTTATCACAGGATAAACATATTAAAAATGATTAAGCGTTATCATCTGAAAGATGATTTCAAGTACTGACGGTCAACTTTAATCAGCACACAGTCAACCTTCCACTTATGTGCTTACAAGCTGAGAGCAGCAGAGGTGATGTTACAGATAATAGCAGTGTTTTGATTCAAACGTGTGTTGGCACCATCTCTCATTTATTACAATAATCAGGTTTTAGAAGCTTCTATCAGATAATTCTGCTTTAAGACCCTCATGAAGGTGAAGGGATTTCTAAAAAGGTTTCCATGCCATCATTTCTTAAAGCTATTTTACTTAAGTTTCCCAAAGACTGAAACAAATACCAAGCTGCAGAAAGAAAACAAAGCCAAAACCAAACATAGACAAATGCCCCCTTCCCACGATGCTGTACATCCCTCCTTTCTCCGTATCCCATCCCGGTAAGCTCTTTCTGCAAAAAGGCACTGTTACTGTATTTCACTTCACTACCTTTGTTCACACCCCACAGAATAATTATTTTTGAACTTTCAGTTCCAGCCAGTCAGCTGATTTAGATTCATTTACTGCACAATGTGACAGTTGAGACCAGCAAAATAGCGTACAGTGTTACTGTAGAGACTCTGGGAGAAGCAAATGACTTTAATACATTACTTAAAATACATAACTTTAAGTAATGATTTATCAGATGATATTCTGTCTTCTTATTTATGATTATTGTTGAAGGCCTCCAAACCTGTATGGTTTCTGAAGCCTGAAATTTCCATAGCAGAGGAATCTGCGATTTGCCGTGAATCTTTTCAGCCCTCAATAGATGGGAAAAGATTGAAATGCTCTAGAGATGAGTCCTCTTTATTTTTTTAATGAAAGGCTGTATAATATATTTTCTGTATGGCTGCAGCAGCAGCTGTCAGGGAGAGCATCTCGGTTCAGCTCTATTATGGGAGAAGCAATACCCCATCCTATGGCATCGAGATACACTGAGGGGCCAGTACTGATTGACAGCTTGTCACCATGACGTCTTATTCCATCTCTGTTATGGAGAAAATTAATGTCACACCACCAGCCTTATGACTCGCTGTCATCTTAGAACTGCTCACCTTTTATCAATGCTCTAAATAACATTTCAAGCCCATCGTCTCACGGTGGACAATCTGGTCAAGGGACATTAAATCGGATGACTGTGAAATGTCATAATAAAAATGGAATGCTAACAACTTCTTCTCTAAACTAGCTTCTCTGGTTTTTAAACTGTGACAAGGGGGACCGTGGGTTGAGCGCACCCGTTCTGAAAAGGTCATACAATCTCACTTGGTCTGAACCCGTTAATGCGTCCCCCCCACTCCACCCCAAAAGGAATTAATCTTTTCAGACAATTGTGGTAAAATAATGGTTCAAACAGTAATGCCTGTTTAATTTGTAAGGCTCTGATGTTCAGCTACAAATGGTTAAATGACAGTAATAGAGTCATTTTCCAAGGCTATTTGATCTGACGGCAAGGTCAGCTCATTAACTGTTTTTGGCTGCAGAAAGGGTGCAAAATACATTTCTCATACGGAAGCAAGATTTTTTTTTTTTTTTGAGGATCACCCTCCTTCCCCAATATACAGTCACTAAGTGGGAATAGCACATCTTTCTAATTGCGTATTATTTCCTTGAATCAGTGGAGATGTAGAGATGTAAATTCCAAAGCCATACCAAGCATCAGTGATAAAAACTGTTTGAATTTTGTTCATCTTCGTTGTCTCTTTCTGCCGCTATCCACAGGTCATCTTAATAAAGCATTAAAATTTCTCAAAAGGTATATCAAATAGTACTATTTCAAATTACATGTAATGAGAAATTTATGCTTCTGCAATAAAAACATTTTCCAAAATATTAATATATTCATTTGAAAACATTTATGTATTTTTTAATAAAAAAGGCACACAGTGTAAGAAATATGTAAGAAATAGAAATAAATAGATCAATCCATACCACATAACTGTGCTTTACATTAGAGAGAAAAAAAATAGAGAATTTAGGAGATATGAGAAATAACACAGACTTATAATATGTTTCTATATTGCTGCTAAACTATCAAAAGCATCAGTATCGCTTGACTCCCATCGTATCATCACATGTAATAATCCACAGAAATAGGGTGTTGTTACTCTCGGTGGAAAAAAGTATGTCACTTCAAAAACAGATCCACCAGAAATTTATCCTATTTATAAAAACCAATTCTGTCAACTACCACCTGTCTTGGTGGATACCAAAATGTGAAATAATTCTCTTAATTGTAATTATTTCTCAAACATGGTACACAATACCTTAGCTCTCAGTTGGTTTAGAAATATAATGTTTAGCCTCACTAAGTCACCTCTATTAAACTGTGTTTATGATAACACTATTGGTGTATGAGTTGTACAAGCATTACCAGACAGCTGATTCAGTGGAGATAGCCAGAATAAATTTGCTGAAGCGCACATCCTGCTAATCTGTTTGAAGAATATTGTACAGCATTAGTACTAGCACTTCATGTTATCTGCACAGCCTGATAAGGTACATCTTTATTAAATTCAGTTATTGAAAGGATGTCAGTCATGGAATAGGAATATTTTAAAATCTAAAAAAAAATTAAGCGGCTCTTTGTTAGTCAGAGCTTGGTTTAATGGCTGAGTGTCTAGAGAAGCCTTTCTAAACACCTGGCAGCATTGTACAATAAAAGCTTTGTAATTTTAAGTGGAAATAGCTTCCCCCACCTCCCCAAGCCCCCCGCCCCATGTGCAGTGAGACAGTTAACATTTAGTGACTTAGGTATTAATAAATGCTGGAGTAAGAGCTCCCCTCTCTGTTGCTTTGGTAAAACTACACAGATGCTGTTCAATGTGAGGATGCTGGGAAATAAAAAATAATTTGCTTCAGAATATTTTGAAATGGAAATATTGTTCAAAACAGTCATTTTGACAACACAAAATACTGCTCCAGCCCCTAATGTCCAGTTAAAAAATAAGCTTTCCTGCCCTTAGAATGCACTTTAAAAAATAGTAATAAAAAAAGCAACCACTGGCGTTTCAAGCCGGCTGGTATGAATACTCACTAGAAACCGCACAGTCACTAAATAACACCACAGTTATTTTGCACTTGGTAAAAACGAGCATCAAAAATCTGTAAAGCAATAAAATTAACTTCTTTAGGTCACATAAATAAAATAGCTGAATTATTATGTAAACAACAGCTTATAGGATAAATAGGATTTGTAGACTTCTTGATGCTACCCGTATCAGCTGCAAAAATAGTCATAACCAGCTTAAATGGTTGTCTCTGGGCGAGTGAGGGACATGCTTAGATTTTTTTTCTCTGATACTTGTTAATTACTTCTGTAAGCCATTACGCAAACAAAGGGCAAGAGAGAAGAACTCCATACATATCTCTTTAGTATTTCCTCTCGCTCTTTCTGGTCCTCCAAGGAGTTGATAGAGAGGTCAGAGATACTGACTGCAGCTGAGGCTGTCAGAGTGACCAGCAGTACCAGGCATCCCTCTCCCTCCTCCAGTGGCAGCTCCAGCTTGTGAGTTTGTTCTTTACTTAGGGCCGACAGGTCAACCTGGCACCTAGAAACAAACGTTCTGAATCAGCGCGGGGTTTTCTTCACAACAAACACGAGCATATTGCCTTACTTGCTTTCCGCTGGACAAAAAAAATCCCAAACCAGTAGAATTTCCTTCTTCCCGCTTGTCTTTTTTTGCTGCTGTTGTTTTAAAGCAACAACTCTATGCTGCATGTGAACGATAAAGATATTAAAAAAAACATACAAACACTAGAGATGTGGTTAGCTAAAACCCATTACTTGAGCTGCCCACCCCAAAAAATTCAGGTGCAAATTGTACTTTTTAATCATTCCTATTGTATAAGCATAAAGCATAAGTTTCAGTAAGTGTTTTTGAAACTATTCGTCTAACGAGATTAAAAGTCTTCCCAAAAGAAACCCTAAAAAACAAAAAACCGAAACACAGTAGACTTCACTGCGATGGAGTTAACATGATTGCACATGGAAAAACAAGACTCAAGTGCTATCCAAAAGGCTAAACTCTCTTGTAGTAGGCTGTGCATGGCTCAGGGTCAACGTTTTATGCAGGTGTCCAGGATACAATTTGATGCTGCCACCCTCTCTATATAACAAGCTCACGTTGTAACGAACAGGGTCTGCTTATAATCTCAGGGAACAGAGTGCTTGAAGCAAATCCACCCTGCTCGATCATCCCCTGAATCACCCTGGCTGCATGGGCTCTGCCACACACTGAACTAATGAAGAATGGCTCCATGCATGCAGGCTAGCAGAAATAGCTGTGCAACTGTTGAAACATCTTTAAAAATAAGAGAGAAAGCCAGGAAGGAAACTATTATTTCTTATAAACAGCTGACCATAAGCTTTTAATCAAAATACGAATACTTTAGGGTCAGTAGTTACACTATGCATACCTTGACATTTTTAGTATTTTTATGTGTACACGTCATAAGTTCAAACGTTCCTAAGATTGCAACTCTGAACATGTCTAGAAGTTCAACAATGGTTTTAAATGAAATGCCACTTGCACTGCATAAGAATTTCTGTGAAAAAACTTCCACTTATACCCTCCCTCATTAATGTTTTGTCAATTAGTTACTCCATGAAAATAACACTGAAGCAAAAAATAAATATATTCTATATATACAGTTAAACCACTGAATGCTCTAGTTTTAATAGCAATTATTTAATGCGACAAGCACATGCTCTATATGCCACTCTCACTAAGCTAAACATCTAGCAAACTCCTTTCATAAAATGTCAATTGATTTTGAAGAGAAAGATAATGTGGTGACCGCAGGGCCAATAAACTGAGAAAAAGGTGGCAGACATGAATAAATAGGCATTTAAGGACAGGAAAGAGCCAATTATGAGAATAATGTGGCCTCATAAAATGGGCGCTATCACAGGCAGATTAGCTTTGCTACAGGAAATTTTTTAATTTTTTTTGTTTGTTTTTAAACATTTACTGTCGTGTAGCTGTCAAAATTAAACTACTGCAAATCTCATATAGTAGCAAGGTTCAATTATTTCACAATGAAAAATTTTCTAACTGACAAAGCTTTCCGAGTTTAATGTTTAGCGTGTATTTGGAAGGCTTCGGGTGGGAAGGGCTTAGAAATGAAATGAACAAGAGCAAGAGAGGACTAACGTTGCTGCTCTCAGTGTAGACTCACGGTCAACACAAGTTCAGTGCATGTATCTAGACTGTAAAATTTTTATTTAGGCTGCAGTGAGGACTATAAAAGCTCTCCTTAAGATAATGAATGTTGTAACCAAGCATTCAAAGCTGGAGTAGGCTAAAAAGCCCTTAGTGTTAAATATTCTTTGAGAGAACATCAGTTTAAACTCTTCAAGTCAGTAAAAGAATCAGAAAGTCTTCATGATACAAATGATGCAGAAGTAGTTCAAAACCTTCAAAAAGTGGAAAACAAAAGCCACCTCCACCTTCAACAAAAAAATCCCTACATACATATAGAACTCATAAAACTATCAGGAGTGTAAAAATAGTGTTTATATCAGTCACAAGCTCCACCCTCTCAAAATCCTGAAGTTACAGTACTTTTTGCAACATTAGTGATCCATGCTATTCATTATTCAGATTAAAAGGAGCAAACTGCCAAACTGACAATTTAAATTTACCTGAAGTCCATGCACTTTTCCGATAGCTATTAAAAAAAAAAAACCTAATTGCCTGCCCGAAAGAAGTACGCCTCTATTCTGTTTGATAGATCTTTGCGAACAATCAGTCACTAGTCTGTTATTTCCTAAAATCATACAATGGGGTAGGGAGTGATCTGGAAAACTTTGCTAAGAAAAGTCTTACCCATTTTACAGGAAAATATCCTCCAAATGGCCCTCAAATAATATGATGAAGAAAACTGAGATTATTCCATTAAGAAATGTCACCACTGCACTTAATGGAAATCTAGATCAAGTGTTTCACTGTCCTCAAAACGTTAGGTGAAAGCACATCTCTCATTCTGTACTACGTTCCCTCCTCTGGGTAAGAGGAAGCAGTACCTCATAGGAGATGCAGCCTGCACGTACCTAACTCGCAGAAGATGCTGGGGCTTAAGGAGCCTTCATCATGCAGCAAGTGCATCAGCGGCACATGCACTTGAGTCAAAAGATGAAACATTTCAATTTACAGACACTAAAGGAAAGATTGCGATTTGTCCATTAATTGCAGACTTTCTCCTGCGGGCGGGGGGAAGTGGAATTTCATCTTGCACCAAATTTTCCTGTAAAAACATTACAGTGGTCTTCAGTTTGTTTTATTGCTTGCTCTCACCAGAACTTTGTATGGGACGAAAACATCAACGGAAGCCTGTTTATAGTGAGACATTACTTAAGCACTAATCCTATCCCAAAATAACTTCTATAGTCATCAGTAGAAAGCCACAAAATTATTTTCTGGATTAATTTTCCTCATAATGTCCCTTTATATTTTAAGATACTGTTTTATAATCAAGATAGACGTGGAAAATGCTACATATAAAGTCATACATAGCTGAGATGATGGACACAATTGCTATTTACTCTCATTTTTAAGGAAGAAATATTTCAAACTTCAAAGCTTTAGCAATGTTGACTTTTATGGTTAGTATCCTAGCCTTTTAAAGCAGAAAATACACTTTAAAACTTAGTGGTAAAGGGCTTGTCATTGTGTGGCAATGGCAACTGTTGCGTAGTTGACATTTCTGTCCATCACCGCAAGTATGTTTGATCTCCTAAAATAAATATTACTGTGGATTTTCTGAAGTTATATGGCTCACAACTTTGCTTTCCCCAGAGAAAAAGCTGAACTTTAGCAGGAGAACAGAGTGCAGACACCTTGAAGTGTCCATGGGGAGTGAAAACAGGATGATTACGCTGCTTTTTAAAGACACCTTCCACTCCCTCTTGACCTTTCTGCCCTAACAAGGAGAACTTGACGAAGAAACACTACAAAAGAAGAGGTGATATTTCAAATTAAAGTTAGCCAGTTTATTGTTTTTCCATTCCTATCTCCACTCTTTGATGAGTCAACGTGGAGGTAATGGCTTAAAATGTATTGTAATTATTTTTCATGATTGTAAAACCTCCAAAAAGTAGACGCTTCTGAAGAAGCTGACTACTTTCATAAGGCCTCTGTACTGCAGAGCACAACTGAGTGGAGAGTCTGTAGTTCCAGCTAAGATATGGCCTTAAAAAACATCTGCCATCTGCAACTATTTCCATGCAGAATAAAGATGCTTAGACAATGAAGGTAAACTTACATGCTACCAGAAAGAGGTATAGAGCAAGCAGGTGGTGGTAGAAATCTGTGTTCTCAGCTTGAGACCATGAAAAATTATAGCCATTTTGAGAAGGCCATAACTTGCCTATTACCTGAGTCTTATTGAAAATGGGAATAATAACGATTCTGGGAGTATTCACTTTCTTACGGAATTGCTATTTACATGCTGCTGGTGAAAGAAGTTCACTATTGAAAAAAAACATGATGAGGAATTATAGCAAAAACAGCTGTTAACTCTACAGACAAATTTTCAAGCATAGCTATAAATTTCAGTGCATTTTAGTTTTTAGCAAGTATTTAGTTTGAGTATCTTGCATTATTCTGCTGCTGAGCTCACCTGCACGCTATACGGTCCCTTCAGAGTGCATCTCTGACAGCAGGAGAAGTTCTAAGAAGGAACAATGGAAAAATTGCTCTGTCTAGCTGACAGAATCAGGAAGAGAAGTGGAGATATGTTCCCCCAATACCAGCTCTGCACACGAACACTGTGAGGGACTGGGTGGATAAGATATTCAGGCCTTGATACGTTGGAAAGGAAAAAAAAATCACGTAAGCTCCTCAAGCTCACATGCTGAAGTATTATAGATAAGCAGCTGCAGAAACACGGTAAAACTTCCAGAAAGGACGGTTTTAAGATTTAAGGGGAATCCACCGCTTCCTTTGAAAGTGCGTTCAATGTGTTAATCACCCACACCATTAGAAATATATTTCTGATTTATTTCTAATTTGAGTACATTTGACTCTGGTTCTTTCTATGCCTTTCTCTCTTAGGTTAAAAAAAAAAACCTTTAGTATCCCATATCTTGTTCTAGTGAAGGTACTCATATACCATAATCATATTTCTTCTTGATCTTCTTTTTGATATGCTAAATAGATTCAGCCCCCTATATATTTCCTTGGAACACATTTTCTACAGCCCTCAAATGACTTTTTGTAACTTTTCTGATCCAATGAGATTTTCCTGCAACCTTTTTAAAGTGTGGAAACCAGAACTGTATGCAGTATTTTATCATCAGCATGGGTAAGAGGTAAAAATCACCTCCCTCTCCAGTTCTAACAGAACCGGGAATGTAAGACCACTTTGGCACCCTGGTGAAATATCCTTGCTAATGAATGACTTACAAAGGTAGCAACATGACATAGTAGGCCTCTTAAAAGCCAGGTGGCCAGGCAAGGGAGAGACAGCCGATAGCTGGATCATTTTCTCACATGACAAAATGAAGCATAAAAGCAGAACTGGCACAATCCTAAGCGATAGGGACAGA